GATTCCTGGATTTCTTTGGCGTTTTTCTCACTGGTAGATCACTTTGGCATCTTTCTTAACTCCAGTAGCATTTTAAACTTTGAATCACTTTGTCGTTGTCGTCTTACCTCCAATAGCATTCTTGAATATCTGGTATTTTACCACAAACAGTAGCATTCTTTTACATTAAGTCTCTTCAGTACCTCCGTTCTTTTCTTTGTTTCTTTGAATTCTTTGTCTGAATTTTCACGGCACATTCTATTTCTAATTAATACGTACTTTTTTTCTCCCTATACAAATAGTCTTTTTTGCCTAAATTTTCGTGGCGTATTCTTCCCGTCTAAGTTATTCAGCACGTTCAATTTTCAATAATTTCTATACATATAATTGTTTTTTTTGTGCTTAATATTGACCGATCGATAGGTTACGCACCTCACCTGACGATCTGTATCTGAGGTGCGTCAGCTGTGATCTGAGGCAAGCGTTAGTCTGAGGCACAACATATATACGGGTTTTTTTTTATTTTTTTGTTTTACTATGAGAGGGGGGAGATTCTGGAGGGGGTAATATAAAACACAGAGTTTAATTGGTCTGGCCTAACCTTAGTTTATCGTTGATAGAAAGTTTTTTTTTTTTATTTCACTTTATTCATCTTCCTGAATATGTTTCTCTCGCACAGAATTTTCATGTCGTCACCCATTTTTTAGACTGATACAAAATTTGATTTGACAGGTTTTAAGCCATTTTTTTTATTGTAAAAAGATTATAAGTTTTTCCAAAATTCATTTTCTGCTTTACATACGATATTTATTAATTTTAATAAACAATATTTATGAATTCTTGATTAAACTATATTTTCAAAAATTCCCACTTCTATAATAACTTTTTCTTTACACTTTGAATCTGTAGTATCATACAGTACAACGTATTCGATTGATTTGGAATGCCAAGAATGAGTTTCTCAAATTAGATTCTCTTGCATACATTCGGTACGTCCGTACGTAATTACATTGACTTATTATATAATCGATAGTACGACATAGAAAACCAATAATTCTTTAATAAACCGAATAAAAATTTTCCGATCAATTTTCAACCGTTAAATGTACGACGGACGCACGCATGTACGTAAGTACATGTATAACCTTCTATATCTGTTACTTCGTAACAGATCATTATATAATCACTTTTATTTATTTTTAATTATTCGGTTGGCACATAAAGTTTGTGTCGAGAATATTAGAATGAAGGATTCGATTCTTAAAAGTTGGAAAAAAACATGACAAACAAAATGATGGAAGAGCAAATTCAATTAGCAAATATAAAAGAAATCATATAACCAATGGAAAACTCAACTGTATAGCTCTTTGAATCGTTTTTTGATAACGAGATAAATTCTCTAAAGCATAGGCTAAATTGAGCATTCCGTATGGGAGCCTAAGTAACAGGCTAGATTATAAACAAACAATTAAAGAACATGTCAATTTCTTTTTTCCGATCAGAAACAAAAATAAACATTAAGTATTTAAAAACCTTTTTCTGAGATATGTTTATAATTTAATTATCATATTAAGAATTATAATTGTTGTAATAATATCAATTATATAGTAATAACGAATAATGTAACATAAAAAAGTGGTTATATCTTAAATTGCTTTAGCGTAACGTTGCTCTGAAAACATTATATATTTCAGGAACAATAATTTAACCGTTACCAATAGATGATATGGAATTAGTGATTGGCTAATAAAATGGGTTGCTAACATAATGCTGACATGCACAAAATGTATAACGAACGCATAAGATGTCAACTATGCTAACTTTTCAATTTGATATAAAAATGTCTTGCTTAAATAAACTGTACATTTTTGCTGAGGAATCCTTTATTTCTTTAACAGCAAAAAAAAAAGAACAAAAAAAAAAACAAAAAAAAACACTAGATCATATTTCCGAATTTTTGGAATGCTATAATTTTCATGATTATATGTACACGTTGAACGCTTAGATATTGTTTTTTTTTTAATTTCACAGCATAACTCGATTATCCGATGGCTCAAGACGAAAGTCTACATCAGATACCTTCAGAGCATAAAACAGCAATAAACATTTTAACTTCAGTAGAAGCAGAAGATAAAGATTCTTCATCAGAAGAAACTCTTGCAGAGACGGCACCTATAGAAGATGCCAAAAATGGCAAACCAAATTATGAAATGAGTAAAACTAAAGTTTTACTGGTTTTTATTGGGTATGTATTACAATTATTTCCGATCAACTTTGAAAATAATTCAATGAAAATGCTAATACGGTTAAATGACTTAAATGCACAGTCTTTCATTGGCTATCTTTCTGGCGGCTTTAGACCAAACTATAGTTGCCACAGCTTTACCAGCCATAGCATTAGAATTTAAATCACTTGATGAAGTCGCGTGGATTGGAACGGCTTATTTACTTGCTGCGGTACGTTTTTAACCTGTATGTAGGTTCTTGCTTTACTGTATCATGTGATCGAATCTTTATAAGAATTCGACTCGTTAATTTATATGATGTATGTATTCTGATAGACAGCTTTCCAGCCAGCATATGGCAAGCTTTCAGACATTTTTGGTCGAGTGAGTTTTTATTTCTATTTTTATTATTTTTTCTTTAGTTTTGTTAAATTTTTTAAAATAATTAAATTCTCAATTTTAAAAACAGAAACCAATATTCCTTATGGCAATAATTTTATTCGAACTTGGTTCTCTTTTATGTGGTCTATCCGTTAATATGGTAACAATTATAATTTTTAATTTTTTTTATTCTAATATTTCTAATATAACAATGATTTTTTGTAGAATATGTTAATAATGTCACGTGCTATAGCAGGTCTAGGGTAATTATCTAATTTCAACTTAAATTTTAATTTAAATTCCAATTTAAATTTTAATTTAAAT